CCGGCCGTACGGGCAGCCCCTGGGCGGCCGGCACGGCTGCTTCCCGCCGCCCGAGGTTAGCTGCCTGCAACTAGAAGCTTCTGAGTGGTCCGGTGCGGACGACGGCAGGTTTGCCGGCAGCCCCGTCTCGCCGTTGCGGCTCTCCCTTTCCTTCTGCGCTTGCTTCTTAGCTTGCGGGTAGCGCAGGGCTGAGGGGCAGCCGGGGAGGTCGTCCCTGTGCTACCCACATTCCCGTAATACCTTTTTATTTCTGAAACCCCTGAGTGCCAGCGCTTGGTATGTGAGCTGCCCTCCAGGAATATGTTTGGCTTCATCGCCGTTTTGTTTCTTCTGGTAGTTTTTTTTGTTGTTGGTTGTTTGCTGGTTTTGGTGTTTTGTTTTGGTTTTTTTTAAACTGCCTTTTCAGTATCCTGTCTTGTCTCGTTTTCATAGGTTCTGTTTATTTTTAGTTGTTCTTTGTATCAGCCTTTTTTACCAGCTTCAAATGTCAGTAGGTCCAAGCCAAAGCTAACTTCTTCTTTGTTAGTCTTTGAAATGTTTCTGGCTCCTTAAAAATGATTGATCATCTCTTCCCAAAACCTTCAGGATGACCCTAAAAAGTCAAAATTATAATTTCCTTTTTTTCCCCCCTTCATTTTTCCTCTCCCTCTCTCTTTTCCAGGTATAGCTTAGTGTTATGGGTGATACAAAAGAAGCTAAAATGCAGATAACACCAGAAACTCCAGGACGAGTCACAGTCCTGAATCCTTTTGAAAGTCCCAGTGATTATTATACTCTTCAGGAGCAGATTGTCTCCAGTCCTTCAGTCTTTAAATCAACAAAATCCTCATCTGTAAGATCTAGTCTTTAGTTGTGTAACTATACAGACATAGTGCTAATATTTTGAAATGCATTAAAAAGTATATTTTATTTAGTGTACTTTAATATATATATTAAGCCAAAGAATTTTGGTGGCGTTGGGTGTTTCTTCTGATTAAAGGAGTATGCTGCTTTTAATACTAACATTGTCACTTAGTCTTTCTACTTTCCTGTTTTGTTTTTTTTTTCTTTAGATATGAGGTGTATCAGTAGATTAGCATATACCTGCTAAGTGCCAAAAACAGTTGAAAGTAGATAAAGGACCGTTACTGGATGTGGTGTTCTTGTCCCACTGAGAGTGGGAAAAAACCCAGTTCCTACTTACATGCTAAGTAAGCTGGATGCAAGTAAAACTTAATTGCACTTCTGTTATAAGCTGTTTGCATAGTGACAGAATCAAGTTAATGATTTTGTGTATATAAAACTTTTTAGTTGCAAATAACATTCTGGTTTGGAGTTGGAATTATTTTCTGATAAGCAGTAGAGATGATGCTGTGCTAATGAAACTAAAAAGACTTGGTAGATCATTTTTCAAATGGATGTTTGAACAGTACTTCGTAATTAAGTGTTAAATAAAGGGGTGAAGCTGCTTTATTTCTGAATTGGGTTTTGTTGTGCCCTATGCATGGCATTATGAGGGAGACTTTGCAGGATGCATATGGGGTTGCAACTCCTAAGTCTTCTTGGAAATGTGAGGTGAAAGGAAGGCTGCTCTATTATTTGGATAACTTGGGTTAGGTGTGGACACTGGGTTTTCATGGAACCGCAGTTTGATTGTGGCAATCTAGAAGCAACTAAATTTTATCCCAAGTTCTGTATCTTTAGTAGATCTGTCCTCAGAAATGGAGAAGAAATTGACACCTCAGTTTGTAAATATTGGCTACAACCTTCCACTTCATGTTATCTTGTAAATCATTGTAATACCACTGCCAGGATAAAGAAGGCCGATTGACTTACTCTTTTTTTTTTTTTAAAGTAGATGATTTAAATAGAAACTCTTTTGATTGTCTTTGACAGAAACTATATGGAAGCTATGATTGCATTGTTCCATTGAGATTTGTCCTGTGGTTCTATTTTTAACTTTTTAAACTAGCAAGCATTAAGATGTCCATTTCTTTTTTAGACACCAGGAAAATTTAGATGGTCTATTGATCAGCTTGCTCTAATAAATCCTGTGGAAATTGACTCCGAAGATGTTCGACGCCAAGCAATGTATTTGAGTCATGCTAGGTAACTTACCATCTGTTTTTATGCAGTTAACTTAGCTTGCATACTGAACACTGTTCTTTTGCTTTATTGATGTTTCAACACAGCATTAAAGACTTTATCCAAATCTTTTAACATAGATTTTTACGTGTCCCTGATGTGGATATAATATTTAGATGAGGCTGCCTCTGTGTTGCTCTTTTTTAATGTTAAGAACTGCTGATCCACTCTGCGGTTTGGAAGACCGCCAGATAAAAGCAGTCAGCGGAAGCAAGAAAATGTCTTGCCAGTGATTGTTAACCAAGCTACCTCTCCTGCTCCTTGTCACAACACAATTTGGCTTCTCAGTGTTCCATACTGAGACCTATGAAGTGTAGGCTTCTTTGGTCTTTGGGACTCCTGCAGAAGGGTAGAGCTGGGAAAGCTAGCTAGGTAAGCCAGTACTCTTTTTGAAAGGTATAGATAGATTGGACTTAATGTGAAGGAGGGAAGACCAATAAGCTTGCCGTCTTTGAGGAGAAGGAGATTGCTAGTTACTTGAAATAATTTGGGGATCCTGATCTCAACTTTTTCTTTCCTCTGAAAATAACTTCCATGGGGAAAACAAATGAGTAAGTAAAACAGGCTTAGTATTCACAGCTCATCTTGAGGGATAGTCTTACATACTAATAGCACAGAACAACATGCCAAGTGAAGGTAGTCAAGGGGAGGCCACAGTGGTGAATCCTGTAGATGCCCCCATACCATTTCTCAGATACAAACTTCCACAAAGAATTGCACCTCACGGCATGAAGCACCGCAGTAATAGAATAATAAAACAATCCTCCATTCTCTTTATGCCTATAGGACTTTCAAGTCCTGTTAGTGAAATGAAACACAGATAGAGGGCTGTTGAGGGCAAGAGTCCTCTGAATATTCATAGAATCATAGAATAATTTGGGTTGGAAGGGACCTCTAAAGGTCATCTCGTCCAACCCCCCTGCCATGGGCAGGGACATCTTCAACTAGATCAGGTTGCTCAGAGCCCTGTCCAGCCTGACGTTGAATGTTTCCAGGGATGGGGCATCCACCACCTCTCTGGGCAACCTGTGCCAGTGTTTCACCACCTTCAGTGTAAAAAATATTGTGAATTAGACCTATTGTTCTTGGTGTCTGCCTGAACCTACATCTCTCTTTTTGAACAGGAAGAGGTATAAGGAGGAATATGAATTTCTTGCTGCAGTAGAGATGTAGAAAGAATGTAACTGTCCTCAGCTATATCTGTGAATCACCATTTCTTAATATTATTTTTCTTAACATCTGTTTGTTTCCTGGCCTTCCTCTAGCAGCCAGTAGGTTTCAGACTAAAGCTTTTTATACGTTACAAAGCCTTAAGCCTTATGTTTTTAGGGAGTTGATTACATTGTTTATGGAAGCCTATTAGGACACACACAAACTAGCTTTAATTTAGATGGCTTGGGTGACAATTCCAATGATGATTAGTGGCATGGCCTATAGATACAAACATGTGTGGTCTCAGCGGGTCCTTTCAGTCTGTCCCACTGTTTCATACCCACTGTGATTTTTTTTTAATCATCTGATACGACTAGAAAGAGGCTAGTTTGTCTATCTGTAGATTTGCTGTGTCCATGCTTGCGCGTTTCAGTGTAATACAGACTGAGGTGGTTATTTCTGGTGGCTGCGAACTGTACATGGTTAAATGCGTGTGTGTGTGTAAGATTTTGTATGGCAACTGATTTTAATTTACATTTCTTAAGTACTGCTTTATGGTAACTAAAGTGTCATAAATACAGCTCTTGACATTAAAAGTTCCTGATAAAAGAACTGAGTTTTTGAAGCGCATGTGTAATGTTACACGAACTATATACTCCATTTTAATAATGCTTGTTAACAAGTCTCTTTCTCCATTAGTTGCAAAGAACCACAAGCATAAGAAATTTGGTGTGTAAATATTCCAAACTGTTAATTCTCCATTATGTAGAAAAAGCGGTTTGGGTAGCAGCACAGTGTAAAAGCTCATGAGCACTTTGTGAAGTCTAAGTGTGTATCACGTGTAGACTTGATTTTGTGCAGTATGACTGTTTCCATAAACGGGGCATCATCTATGTGCTGTGTGTTTATTGCACTGCTTATAAAATGACTAGGAGAACTTTTTTCTGGCAGACTGTGTTAGGGAAATATAGTCTGTCAGTAATTGAGCAGACACAGTGACACAGTCTTGTCCACAAACTTTCCTCTTCCTTTTTTTGTTTCTACTGCTAGAAATTGAATGTTTCTAAATTGGGTGCTATGCTATTATATGTTAAGTATTAAAAAAATCTGTACTGCATCTTGCATACTGTGTGTCGCGGTTGCAAATGCTCTGTTGCTTGAAGTTGCATACAAGACTGGCTTGTTTTTATTCTTGTTAAATACATATGATGTTTTCACTTTTTTATTTTCCTGGAGTTATGCACTAAAGAAAAAAACATCCTCTTCTGCATTAACCAGCACTTTTAGTGGGAGCCGTTTTCCCAGTTCCCCTGTTTCTCCTTTGGAATCTGGCTTGTAAAGATGCTTTTTACTTGTGATCCACTATGCATAAATATACAATGATTGTAAGCTTATTTTTTGGTACAGTAACTGAATTTTGTGCAAGTGTCTTCACAGAACTGTCACTTTAGCATCATCTAGGCAGACATAGTTGAAGATGGCACGTCCAAGTATTGCAGATCTATTCAAAGTCTGATTAGCATCAAAGAAAGAGGGCTGTGAGGGAGAGTTTATGTATGTATATCTACATGTGTTTGTGTAGCTAATAATGTCTGTTATCGGATTGATTTCTAAAATTATTCAAGGGTAATTCAGGTATACTAACTGTATGAACGTATTATGTGATTCAGCTAAGATGATGATGAATATTCATGTAAAATTTTTTTAAGCTTATAAATTACATAGTAGTAACTGAAAGTGAGACTCGAAGGTGACCATTAAAGGAAGTATAAATGTAGAATCTCACACATCATTTGAAGATGGCTGAAGTAACTACAATATTTTTTTTAAAACTAGCTTAAAAGCTGCATAGGGGAAAGTGTTAATTGATTCAAACCGAAATACGATATTGTATCCTGAACTGAAGAAAATACGGCAGACTAGCTATGTGAGAGGGGGAACTCTGTGCTGGGAAAGTGGGCTGTGTCAGGAATTTGAGTATGCAAATGTTCCATGAGTATCTTCTGTTGCCCTTCTGCTCCTTACAGCTGTTTTTTATTCTGCTTGATTTTGTAGTGAGATTCTTTGTGAGCCTAATCTCATGGAAACTTTAATGGTAAAATCTATTCATATGACAAGTTCAACATAACTAAATGGATTATTTTGTAAGATGATTGAGTTTTTGTCCAGATAAAAATACTTGCTGATACAAGGAGTAAATAGAAGATTTGCAAATACGTACTTATAATGGTACAGACCTTTTTCAAATGAACTGCAGTAACTGAGAAGTGCATTTATATTTCTAAATTTATGGTATGAGATTATTGCACATAAATAGTGCAGTAAAAACATCATAAGATTTAGGGTTTAATGCAATTTCATTTATAATGTTTCTCTTAACCATCTGTAAAAGATTACATGGTTGGACTTTACTGTTTTTTTCCAATTATGTGATGGCTTTGATAATTCAGTTGTTTTTCATTTGTTACTTAGAATTGATAAGGAGACAGAAGACAGAAGGCAAAAAGCCATTGAGGAGGTAATAAAACGTTCTATGCTATCAAGTATTGATTTGTTTTAGCTACATACCTACAAAAAAGATCCACGTCTATTACAGGATTTTACAGGATTTCAAAACCCACAAGCCGTGAGTAAGAAAGTAATTTTGTGTCCTCATCCCTTGCAGTTACAGGATTTCAAAACCCACAAGCCGATTATATTTTACTGGTCAGTAAGAAAGTAATTTTGTGTCCTCATCCCTTGCAGTTGTAGTTGGACTCCACATGGTCTTTTTCTTCCCATCTGCTTTCACACACCTGTAGGTCAAACCAGCAGATTTTGTTTGTTTCATGTTGCTTGGCTAGTGGGAATGTAGCTGGAAAATAACTCTTATAAATAGTTAATTTAAGGTTAAAAATAATGATTGAGTATTTTGGGTTTTACAGTAACTGTTAGTGTTAGGTAGCTTAGTTTCTTTTATTACCTTTTTAAAAATATAGCAGTACCTTGGTGATTTCATTTTTTCTTCCAAAGTCTGCTTAGTTGGAGGCAACACTTTCTTCTGGTAGCTTGTAATTCTTTCTGTCCGTTTTTCATTTTATTTTTTACTATCCATTTGTCTAGCAGAGAAGGAAAAGTTAAGTGTTTCAAATCTTCACTACAGAAATTGTCAACATTATTTCAATTTAAAAAAATAAAATAAGGCTCTGATAGGCAAGTTTTCCTTAGTGTTATTGACCTTTTTATATTTATCATGCTGTTACCAGTTTCTGTGCCTATAAACAAAAAATACGTTTCATGATTCCATAAGGGTGCCATGTAGTTGACCTGCAGCTAAGATACTCTGTTGTTCTAAATCTGCATTAAAAAGGATATTTCTTCTTTGTGAGGCATAAGCTAATGGATTATGCAGCTGAACAGCTTGAAACCACGTCTCTGATAAAAATTCTGCTTTTAATAGTTGGGTGTTTCAAGCTGAGGTTTTTTTCATTTGCTTTGAGTCTAGCTTTTATTGTGAGAACAGGATTTGCCATGTATTTCTTGAAGCTATGTGATAGTGTTCATCTCCTCAGCATCAGGGTGTTCTAGAGTGCAGATAGATCTATCTGTGACAGCAGATAGAGTTTCGTTGGAAAAGAAAAAGACTCATGTGCCAGTACTCATAAATGTTTCACTGCTAACCAGTTTAGCCAAATACACTAATAATATTGCCAAAAAGCCTTGGTTTTCCATTTCTTTTACTGTTACTGCAGTGTCTCTAGCACTTCTGCAAAATAGCTCAATTGTTAAAATACAACAATTTAACAAACTGAAAATTTGAAAAGAATTATGTTAAACTACTGTGCAGTAAGTATGGTAAAGACAATTCAAATTTTTAAGTGAGTAATTGGTGATAAATGAAACTTTTGTACAATTTTCACTCTGCAGACTTGAAAGATCTGAGGTGGTGCGTGTCATAAAGAACTTGGGGGTCGTCTTCAAATCAAATTGGTTTTTCTTTAACATCTCTGGGCCTGAAATAATGAAATCTATTTTGGGTATAAGGGATAACTATGTTTATAGGTTTGGGAGAAGGAAGAGTTAAAATTCTTAAAATATATCTGTGAGTAGCAAAAGGTATGACTTAATTTTTTCTTGTTTAGGGTACTATCTAAATTTGAGAGTCTCCGATTTTTAAAAATGCTTAGATGGTTTCTTCCTATTCTACTCTAGTTTTTCACAAAAAGACTCATAGTTCCTTTTCTCCTTGGTGAACATGAAGGCAAGCAAGTTTCTCAGTTTAGTTCAACTAAATGTAAGTTGCTTTTCTGTGTCCACCCAAAATTATCTAGTTTTTGGAGAAATTGTTAAGCATCATTTTTTTTTCAACCTCAATTTAAATGTTAAGAACCAATGATAAAAGATGGCACAACTGATAGATTTTTAGCTGTTCTCTCCAAGTGCTTTCTTTGTTTAAAAATCATTTATTAATCCAGAATCTTATATAATTTTTCACTTTTGTTATTTTGGTTCCTGTTCTTAAATCTTTTTCCATTCATAAGCTGTCTTCAACCAGTTTAATTTACACACGCAACTTTGCTGTGTCAATACTGGTAATAGCCAAGTCTTCTACTTCACACTTTTCTTCTGATGTCTGCACGTCTGACTTATTCTGACTGCTTTCCTGCCGATACAAATATATGGGAAATGAGTTCCATATTTTTCTACCATTACGTGCTATGTAAATTCCTGTTGTCCTCTTAATGTCCTGCTAGCTGACTGTCACTTTACATAGGGTTGTGGGTTTTCTAAATTTATTTCATTTACACCATTATTAGATTTTATTATTAATGCTGTTGTTATTCAAGTTTATATATAACCAACAGAATACATAGTAAACGAATTATAAACTGGAGAAATGTCATAGAATCATAGAATCATTGAGGTTGGAAAAGACCTCTAAGATCATCGAGTCCAACCGTCGACCCAACACCACCACCCACTAAACCATGTCCCTAAGTGCCTCATCTACTTGTCTTTTTAAATACCTCCAGGGATGGGGACTCAACCACTTCCCCATATGTCAGCTATAAAGTGTTGTTTGCATTCAGTATTGTTTGGTAGGAAATTCTTAACTAAGTGTTTGGGGATTTTTGCAAGATTTGGAAGAGGCTGAACTGTTAAAATATTTTATCAAGGAGATGCAGCTTGTGGCGATCTCACAATTGACAAAAATACACTATCCACTTCTTGGGCAGAGCCACAATCCTTGACCTGGGAAAGTGAGTGGTGAAGGAAAATGGTCTAATGTGTTCCTTAGCTGTATCAGAAGAGTGGAGTGTTAGATTCTTCATCTTTGTCTTCAAGTCAGACTGCATGATTTTCTGGAAATGTGTTTTACTTGAACACAGCCTGTTTGGCTAAGCATAAACTGAGTTTGTTTTAAATCTCTCTAATGTAGAGGAGGCTGCAGGAGACAGATCTGGGCAAAGTTGATGCTACTTCACTAAGCTTTTTTTGAATAGAAAGGTGCTGAAATTCTCTTAATCAGCTATAATGGTAACCTTTCTTCAGTACTCCTTTCTAATCTCTTCCAAACTTTGATGCAAAAATTTTGTTTAGTTGTATTAAAAATTCTAACTTACTGCTGCTAGGTTTCAAAACTGTATGCAATGCATGCTTAAATTTAAGTTCTTATCTGTTTTACAGCCATAGATCTAAATAACATTTCTCCAATTGGAAGACAGCTAACTTTGCAGCCTGGGAAAAGCAATGGTGGGTAAAAGGCAACGTCTGAAATTACAGGCTTTCTCTGAAGTGAAATAACCCATTTTTTAATGGCTATTTAATTTCAAAAGGAAATGATTTTTGTTAATATTCCTGTAGGAATAATTTTTCTTGAACTGTATGGTACTATTAATTTTAATATCCATTTCTCATAGTAATTTAATTCCATTATACTCTTTCATATTTTTTAATAAGTAAAAGCTGCAGTCTTCTGTAGACTATAGAGTGCATTTTTGCCAACTCAATGTATGCCCTTTTTCTGAACTAAAAAGTGAATATAAGCCTCAGGTTTATGGGTAAATTACAGTTTCAAGAAACCTTTAATGTGTTGGATTGTTTTAGGTTAGAGAATCTTGATTATTTTCTCCACCAAATAAATAACAGAAATCTTAAGACATCTTTTAAACTGTTTCATTTTAGATAAATAGGTAGTGTTCTTCCCCAGGGTGTTTTGATGATCTTTCTACCATTTCCTTTTGAATCCTTCCTTTCTTCAGAGACCTCTCTCCTCGGTTCAGAATGCCTCTCTAGAGGCTTTTATGTTACAACCCTTGTTTTTTTATCCCTAGGCCTGAGTGTACTGCATATAGTGTTGTCAAATCAGAATCCTAGCTTTAATTAACACTTTTCCTTATTGCAACTGTAACTTAAATAGCTCAATTGCAATGCAATTTGAAAGTGAATTTTTGTTTCTACAGTTTTAGTAAAAGGTCACTGCAAGCTAATTTTGTTGGTTTTATTCATTGCAGCTGCTTGTCAGACAGTACTGTCTCTGCCAGTGGATTTTAATTTAGAGAAAATACTAGGTATGCCTTGTAATATCTAAATTTAATTATGACTGTCTAAATAGAAAACTTGTTTTTGTATTGTTTGCTGTTTTTTTGTCTTGTGAAATATTGAAAACCTAACGTATGAATGAAAGTTTTAAGTATGTGTTCTTTGTAGACAGTTACTGCGTGTTGCATGGGACATCTGACTTAAATGACATGATTTGAGTGTAGACAAAGATAAAAGAGAAGGGATATGGAGGACAATTGGAAATTGATTAACGATTCTGAATGCATAAAAGGTAGTCAGCAGAAGACAACCCCTGCCTCCCCCAAATAGAGCAGTTATTTAACTTAGCAGAGCTGTTTGACTTGCAGATTGCTGGCTGTGAGGCTCACAGCCCAACCTTGCCTTGAGCAAAGCTATGCTCTAACTCTGTGCCTTTAGTTTAACTGAAGCCGTGGTGGTGACTAGAAGCTGTGTGGTGGCAAAAAAGCCATGACCACTGGGTGGGGAGATGAGAGTCCAAATTAACTGTCTGATTATAACTGCTGTATCAAGCAATTGCTGCCAGCTTCTCAGGCAGGGGGGCTGGAAAGGCCTGTTCTTACAGCTCATGTATGGGAATGGTGGGTATAGCCAGCTCAGAGGTTTTCGGCTGCACGCTCCTATCCCAGTATTGAAGTTCACAACCCCGATTGTGGGTCATGAAAATTAAAACAGAAAAACAGAACCATATCTGTTGCTTCTGTGTTTCGTCTTAACAAATGCTTCCATCAATGCATAGTTTGTGAACTCATGAAAAATTTCTTCTACAAGAAATAGCCAATTAGAATAGAGCAAGAGCAAAAAACTAAAATAATCTGGTAAATCTCAGCATATTTAAATGGGTCTTTGTTAAGATCTGTATGCTCTTTTACTGTAAACTGCTAACTGCTTTGACTTTCTTCGAGTTGAATCTGGTTTGCCTTTGGATGTATCATGATGACCATCAAAGCATATGAGAGACCTGAAAAAGGGTCTAGTTTTGCTTGGGTAGTTTAATAACCCCTTTTTCACAACTCAAATGTGAAGAATAATACAATTTGGGGAAAGGGCCAGTAAGTAGATGCTACCCAATATTTATATTTTTTAAAAAATGCAGACTTCACTATTAAAAGATAGGCAGAAGTGGAACCTTGGTAGACAGAGTAGACTTTTTGTAATGATAACAAGTGATCCTTTGGGATAGGTGGCTAACTTAGATTAATTCCTTGCTGTATTCGTAAATTGGATTAAATGTTTTAATTTAGTTACAGATGTCTTTGTAGTGGAAGATACATTTTTTTCTTGCATTCTTATTGGAAACGATTTCTCCTCCACGCTTCTAGGTGAATATTTTAGAACTGATGAATTTGCAGATCAATCTCAGGAAAATCTGAGCTCTTCATCGCTCAGAAGAAAGCTGTTTTTAGAAGAAAATGGAAGCGTATCGGAATGTTTGTCCCCTTCTCTGCATAGTGCATGCGGTGGTCAGCCACTCGGAGTGCTTTGTTCAATTGACATATCTCCAGTCCGATGCAGAAGCCCTCTCGAAACATCTAGCTCAGTAAGTAGCCTGTTTTGGGGGCTGGATGGGATGTGACTTAGCTGGCACAAGAGTAGTTCTTAGAGCAGGCTGTACCGATTCTGTGTTCTAACAGACTTCACGAGATGAACCACCATGTTTTTAATAAGCTAGAACTGCTTTATGAAAGAGTCGGTATTAGACCAAAGGCGTTTGTTGTTGGTTTTTTCCCAAATTCCAATTTCAGAAGAAAATCATGATCAAAAAAAAGTCTTGAAAGAATATATTATTGACTTTTTATTATATCAAATTATTATGCTGTGCTGCTATTCTTTTGTATAGAAGAAATTAATTAAGTAGGAATTGATACGTATACAAGACTTGCCTGCTGTCTAAAATACTACTTGATACGAACAGGTGATACAATTGTTTCCCTTATAGCTCATAAACTCAATTATGGTGGAAGAAGTGACTTGTGGATCTTTGAATGCAGTGCTAAATATGCTTTTTTCTTTTCCATTGACCAGAGATTTCAGATGAATATACATATATTAGAACACGGAACATAATGTCTGTTTTTTAAATTAAGCGAGATGAATCTTATTCCCAGGTGGACATAGCACAGCTAAACTGGTTTAGGTGGTATGGTTTCATCTGTTTGGCGGCTGAAGTGCACAGAAAAAAGGTACCCCAGCAAGAATGTGGCTTTAAAAAAAAAAAAAAGTCCTCACTATGGTAACCTAGTAAAGAATTCCTACAACATAATTACACCGCTAGAAGTGACTTTTCTTTTTGTACCATACTCTTAAGCAAGGTCACAACCACTATTCTTTTTTCTTAAGGAAAAATATTTTTTCTGCTCCTGAGTTAAATAATTCAGATAATATGGATTCCATTAAAATATAAGTAGTGGCTGGCTTTCATCTGCATTGTTACGAGTAAGAAATTGAGATTAAATACTTGACTATATACACAGATAGCATTAATGCCCTGTTTAGGCTTATCATAGTTCTTAAATATAACGGATATTATAGTCTTAGTTGGTATTATGTGACAGTTTGAGTCCGTTGCTCTTTTCCTATGTGGAGGCATAAAGTCCAAGTGAAGAGTTGCTACTGGAATATTTAAGCTAAACTAATGATAGAGGTTGTCACTGTATGGTTATACAGGATTAGTTTTTCTCAGTGCTGCCATATTAAGCTTTTTAATTAGAACACTTTTTATATATACGTATTAGGCAAGGTTATTTCATGAAAATATGCCTTTTTTTTTTTAACTGAAGGGTCAGTTTTCCTCAAGTCCTATTCAAGGAGGAACAAGGGCTTACAGTCTTGGAAGTATAACCAGTCCCACATTTCCAGAGGGGTCTCCTGCACAGAATGGTTCTCCTACTTTTTCACCAATTGCTTTTCACATAAGAAAGACGCCACTGTCAGGTATGGTTTAATTGTATATGTATTATTCTTTCTGGATTAACTGAAGGGTCAGTTTTCCTCAAGTCCTATTCAAGGAGGAACAAGGGCTTACAGTCTTGGAAGTATAACCAGTCCCACATTTCCAGAGGGGTCTCCTGCACAGAATGGTTCTCCTACTTTTTCACCAATTGCTTTTCACATAAGAAAGACGCCACTGTCAGGTATGGTTTAATTGTATATGTATTATTCTTTCTGGATTTATATATTTTGATTATAAAAACTGCTGCATTCTTACTGGAACTTTTTTCTGTTCCAAGACAAGTTACTGTGCTTGGCAGACCAGCAGTCTCCTCTTATATGACACATTTACTGTTTAGCAGTGAAACATCGTAATGATGTGTAACAGTGAAGTGTATCTGCTTGCAAAAAATCAACTCGGGAAAATGTTTTTGAAGGAGGAATTGAGACCTAATAGGAATGGAGAAAAAATTAAAGGATTAATCTAGTGTGAGGAGGGGGTTTAAAGCCATATGCCTGAACTAAGTCAGGTCACAATTCTGATTTGGCCCAACCTGAAGCATTTGGACAAAGAATGTTTAGCTTGAGTTTTCAAATCATGTGATTGTCAAGATTATTTGAAATGAAACTGACTAGTGAAGAAATCACAAACATTTTGTGTCCTCATTGCTCTAGAAAATGTCAGTATTATGTTTCGTCCATTGCCTGGAAAGACTTAACGCCACATTTATACATGATTTTGCTCTGATGAGCCTTGTGGTATTTCAACACCTTTATATGTGGAGATTGCATAGGTTTGATTTTCTTGAAAATTTTACTGCTAGCCCAAATTTGTTTTTAAATGCCTATAGAATATGTGTAATTATGGCTTTTTTGGAAGAAAGCCATAGAACCAGCCTTGACAGATTTTTCCTGTGAACAGTGTGTGGTATTGCCATTTGAAAATGCAAGGCCTCTGATTCCACAAACTATGTCATAGGAAACAAATTTGCTGGTAAAAATGGGATAAAAATTTGCCTTTACTGTGACAGTTTAAATGCAGCTTAAACTCCCCCTTGGAGCCGGGAGGCAGTGCTCAGTGGAACACTATGTAGTTGGCTATAATTATTCAAAGGACTGTAGGGTTTTGCGGATGATGCCGTTAACTCCATTTGATATCTAATAGAATAACTTTATTTGGGGTTTTTTTTTTCCCTTTCTTCTGTGGACAGACCAAAGAAAATTTACATTTCGTTCTCCAGATATTCCTTCTTCCTCAAATAGAATGACACCCCCGAGTACAAGAAGTCCTTATATAGATGGTTGTTCTCCAATTAAAAGTTGTTCTCCTATGAGGCTTGGAGCACATAGAGGAACTACCCAGTATCAGACTTCTGTCATTAGAATACCAATTGCGGTTGAAAATCATGGTGAGGATGAGGAAGACAAGGAAAATGCTTCTCCAGCAGAAGCTCGGTTCCCAGAAATGGATAATGGAATAAACTTACGTCAGCAAGACGGTGATACTTTTGCACATGGTACACATCTCGTGGTAGCAACTGTGTCTATTGCACCAGATCACTCGGAAGTTTGTCATCAAAGGTTGTCGTCATTTCAGGCTATAGAAGGCTCAAAGGAAAATAATACTGTAGATATGGCTGATGCAGCTGAAGTGTCAGAGGAGAACACTTGGATAAAAGAAACAATTGGCACTAGCAACACACCAATGACCAGCTTTATGACAGGGATTACTTTCAGTATTGAAAACTCGCGCATGTGCATGTCACCTCTTGCAGAAAGCAGTGCAATTCCTTGTGACAACAGTAGTATTCAGGTAAAAATAAAAATCTTCTTGTGCTTCTCTGTAAAACTGAGCTCGATGGTCGAACTTTTAGTATGTATACCATTCTGGAAGTAATTGTCTATTTTCTCTTATTGGATGTGGCATGCAGGTGGTATTGTGACTTTTATTCCTTCCCCCTCATATCCCCTTTTTCCTCTCTCAGTGGAGTCGGCATAGCAATTATAAATGATTTTTGTGTTACTATGTACAGGAATATGTTTAACTTAATCCAAACTAATTCTGACAGACCCGTTCACAATTTGCTTTTGTTACTAACTGATGGTAGGTGGTTTGTTGGATTAAGTTCTGTTAAATGCAAGTCGTATCAGGTATGAGAATCTGAGGGGCTTATTGGTGATAAATTGCAGTACATTTTTTAAGCCCTGCTTCTTGATTTCAGGTGGACAGTGGTTATAATACACAGACTTGTGGAAGCAGCATTATGGATACTGCGGGGGCTGAAAACAGTTGCAGAGAAAATGATGTGAATACTAACATGTTTCAGAATAAATCTCAGCTCCTTAGATCAAAGGTAGGAGTTAAATTGTGATGCAGAAGTGATAGGCTTCCCATCTGAAGCATCCATTCCTTATTTTATTCAGTTGCAGGGAGCCTGAGTGAGGGGAGGAGAGACTGTCAGGTGATAATAGAAAGCATGTAGCATCATTTTGGTGATTGTAAGCTGGCAATAAAATTAACGTGTTCTATGACAAAGGCAAAGGTAGTTTCACAGGAAACTGAAGTATGTGCGTAAAAGGTAGTTGCGAGGCTGCTCATGGCTCCTGATGTATTGTAATCTGTCTCTTATTTTTGTTTCTGTTGTTCTTGCTCCTTTTTTTGGTTTTTTTTTATTGCCAAGTTTTTAAACGTGTGCCTGTGGAGAAGCACGTTTTTTGGGAAAAACTGTCAGCTGCTTCTTTTCATAAACTAGACTCAAGTTTCCTAGACCGTACTTGGCATGCTGACTTGGTGGGGAACTTTCTGGTTAGGTACAGCCTTTTGATTACAAGCCCTTTGATGACCTATCTTCAAAACAAAAGAAAAACTACAAAAGACAATACACATCTAGCAAGGCTCCCAGGCTCTTAATCTTGTGACTGATGGAAGGAGTTCTACTTCTTCCAGAGAATGGGAAGCAAGGCTAGTTTCTTTGGAGGAGAGAGCAAAGATCATCTCCTCTCACTTAGTAATTATGGTCTTACGGTCTTATAAACTTAAATAGTTTATGGTCAACTACTTGGCATTGTTGACAGTCGTTGAAGGGGAGACAGTACTGACCAGTAGTACCAGGCTATAAAAAGACTCAAGCCCATTCAGCCCTGACTTCACTTCTGTCTCTGACATGCTAACAGCTGCTTCTCTAACAAGGTAAAGAGTGGATTGATGGTGTCTTATAGACCACTGAGATCAAATTTTGAACTCTGCGCATTTAAGATCGGGATAACTGTGCCCTTACAGGAAGAATAGATGGATATTTTAACTTCTAAAAATACCCAGCTATGCTGAGGTCTTGCCCCACTCACCCTGTTGGACCATTCAACTCTCGCAACAGAGAACCCACAGAGAATGAAGAGAAAAAAGCATGGACACTGCTGGCTGAAAGCATCCAGTCTGGCTCATTCAGAGCACGTGTGCTCTGAAAGGAGGTTCTTGCGACAGCTTGTCTCAAAGATTTGTGCAGAAAAAACATTACCTTTCACTTCTTTTTTATTTCAGAAGGGGAGAGATGGGAGGCTAAGGTACTAATTGTAACTTGAAATTTTCAGGTAGTAAGTTTGGATCTTGTTTCTTTTGGGGAATTTTTGTGAAAATGGTTTTAAAATTAACTTTTCCTTATTAACCTAGGAGTGTTCCGTTTTAAACCATAAGGACAATCAGTTGCTGAGAGCAAAATCTCCAGAGAAGCAATCCTGTTTCCAAAAAGCAAAAACACATAGTACAGTATTTGGTCAAAATGCAACTTGCAACATTTCTGCCTGGAAACATAAAAATGAAAATCAAGTTCAGGGATTTCACAAAAATGGTATGTAGTTTTCTGATGGAGAACTTAAATTGTGTTGTCTAATAAATTTTTATACGTACGACCTCAATTACCTGGATTATACATACTATTTTGCTTTTTCAATGCAAATGTAATAAATTGTCTGGTATATATTAAGGGAGTTTTTAAATAATGTGGGGTTTTTCAGGTCTTATTAACAAATTTATTGGTATCATTAAGCGATCCTTTTGAAAATTAAGGTGGCTAGACTTGGTACCAAGAAACCATAGTGTTTTTTCAGAATTGTGTCCCTTCTGTGATTAGGGTAGATTCCATGAGGAGCCTTGTTCTGAAAGTTTGGACATAACTTCACCTTGAAGAGGAGTATTTTGGATAGACTGAGCAAACCTAGGGTAACTTGCCTAGAAGCCAGTGTAACTGCAAAACCACCTGCATTTTAAGACACAACTCCTAAAGGCATGAGGGAAACTCTTCTTCGGGAGGGGGGGAAAGGAGCATTAGTTTTGATTTGGATTGCTTTTCCCCTGATCAGGTTTATTGTGTGGCTTCAGGAATACTAGCACTGGTACCAAGAAGGAGTCACTGGGACAGAAATGAACCTCTGGGGGTGTAATGAGAGCAGGGCTGGGGTAACAGGAGGGGGGTGAGTGTCTGTCAGTATCAGTCTAAAGTAACAGTGATGAAACTCAGCTGTGACTTTTGCAAGGAAAGAATAAAACTAGCGTTCCAGAAATGGGTCCCTGGAATATGTGTATGTTTTATAGTAGACTTGCAAACTGTTAAAAATGGGTGCTTTGATTTTAATACCAGGCTAGTCCTTTCAATTAAGTTTTCCTTGTGAACAGCTGCATGAAAACTCCGTTCCAGTTATGGAAATTATGTACTTTTCCACAATTAAAAAACAAAAAAGTTTAAATCTCGTAGTAATAAAATAAGCTCTATGTCACAAGAAGCCTTTTAGCAGTTCTTTGATCAGTTTTTTCCTTGGTTTGGCAGAAATCAAGGAAAAGGACAGGTGATGGAAATGCTTTAATAGGAAAATAGAATCTCTTCCCCCTAAACAAGCAGCTCTTACTCTTAAAACTGCTTATCTGTCAGTTAGCTTTACCATGTACTTAAGTAAGTTGTGCTATCGGCTACTTTAAAATTAAATGATAGCATTGTTACTTTAGTAGTTGTATTAGTACTAATCTTGAAGTTGATCACCCGCCTCCACCAGTGTCTCCTAAGAACGCTTGTGTCCAAAGTGATGCTCCGGTACCCTTTCGAAGGAACGTAAGAAGGTGCGATAAGGTTAATTGGTCTCAGCACATCATTAAGAGAATGGCACAGCCTGCCTTCTAGGAAAGTAAACCATTACACTTTTACTTCCCTCGTATGTTTAATTCCCAACACTGTTATGTCTGCTTACAGAAGTGACCAAAATATTTAGATAAGCATTTAGAAATAGAATTAATTTTTGCATGCCACTTATTGCAAAAAGTATTAATATAAACAAACTCTCGATACTTTCAAGAAAACCATTGATGAACAAAAGTAATGGAATGAGGAGGGTCTGGAAGCCCAGAATTCCCTTTGCCTAACCACATCAGATTTGCTTAAATTTGATTGGATTTGTTTAAAAGGACCTTCTGGACTTCATAAATCTGAATGGGGAAAAAAACCCGTATGGTAATCTTCTAGCCCTAGTGACTAAGAGGGAAAGAAGAGAGAGGGGAGATACTGACACTTCAGGGCTCGGTGTTTGTAGAGCTCTGAAGTAAACTTTGTTGGATTAATCAAAAAGGCAAGTCCATTCCAGTACGTGCCCCAGCTGAAGCAGTCTTTCTCCCTTTTCATAGCAAGGATATCCAGTCCCAGGACACTGGATGGAAGTTCCGCTTCCTATTCTATTCCACAACCCACGGAAAAGCTTGTACCAAACTGATAGACCGTGGCTGATGAGTAGCTATTGGCACACTGAGCCTGAATTCAGGTCAGACCTAAATTTGAAGGCAACCGACAACGTTTTTTAAAAATCTCAGAAGGGGAGGCATGAACGGAATTGCATAGCATTAAACAGCAGCGCGTTAGCCCTGAGGCTTGTGCGCAGGCGTTGGATGAATAGAACAGTTCTCAAAATACTTTCATTAACTCACCAGTGAAGGCTTTCTGAAAAATGTACTTAATGAAACAGGTAAACTTCTGTACCATCAATAAAGCATCATTTGGTTTTAGTTCTCACATTGCAAAAATAGTAATTAAAAAAATTACTTTAGATTTCTAGCAGGCAAACACGACGTGCATTATTTTTACTTCCATAGCAATCTAATCAGTATTTCTGTTACGCATCTCTGATTGACAGTAATTGAACCTAACGTCCTGAATTATCTATTTCAGGCTCTTGAAACAGTGCCCTGCTAAAAGCTGGAAATACACTGAATCGATAACTTTTAAGGGATGAATTTTTTGAAGTAGAGAATCAACTTAGCCTTCTGGAAAATGGATTTATTGAATAGGGCATTCAGAACGTTCTTAGCTTTAGTTGGTAAGGTTTGTAGCTCAAAAGCAAGACGCAACTTGCTGAGGCTTAAAAGTTATTTATGACCTTGCGTCTTTTCTGTTTCTCATGATAATTCTCTTTAATCAACTGAAAGGGTGAATTTCAGATTTCCGGACTGTGCAAAGGATTTATTTTTGCAAGTGTGATTACTAAAAATAGTAGTAATGTTAATGTAAAGGGGAAGATGAGAAGCAGAGTTAGTCCACATTACGATCTGTTTCTGAGCTGTTTGGCATGGTATGTGTAATTAAGATTTGGTTTTAATTTCTGACTAAAATTTTTAATTCTTTATAATGATATGTTCAATGACCAGAGGCTTTCAAAGTATTCACAAATAAAAAAGCAATCACTAAAATACTTAATTGCACCCTGTATAAGTGTTTTCTTAAAGGTAAGGGAAAAGTAACAGCAGAAATGGGTGAATGTGAGAAGTAATTAAGGATCCCCCCAAATAAATTGCCGGTGTTTTCTGTCCTGTTTTATAGTCCTCAGATGGGAATTATTTATTTTATGAAAACATGCATATTTTTATTATGTTTGTATAATTGTTTTGTAGAAGGAACCTACTGTGCAAATCATTGTGGAAATCATTTGACCATTCTGTTTCTCTAGTTGTACTTGGCGCATTGGTTGGCACATGTTGCACAAAACGGTCATTGTTTACATTAAATTAATTTCAGTGGTTTTAAGGAAAGTCCTTTAACATGGATAACTGTAAATTGAGTAGTGAAACAGAATAAAGACATCTCTCTCATACCTAGATTGTTTGTATTACTTTCTTTGCTGTAATTTGCAGCATCTTTTGAGTGCTGCCTGTAACACGTGTACGTGTCTGTCGTTTGGGTGGGGGGCGTTGGGGAACAGAGGAAGGAGATCAGGCAAGGAGCCTGGCAAGCTTTCGCTCTCATACAGCTAAAAAATGGTTTCAGTTACTCTCATGGACGGTGCTGAATTCCAAGTGCAGTACCAGTTAGATCCAGTGCTCTGCCCATCTTTGAGTTTTAAAGTTTCCGAATAAGCCTGTTGGAACAGTGGCGACAGGATTAAAATGTCTCATTCAGGGGGTGCGGTTTCTTCTGTTGCAATCAGTTAAACATGTTAATTGTCTCCTTTTGACGCCTTTTATAAATACGTACTTTATAAATCTGATCCAATCCTTTACAATGACAGCAGAGGGGGAGCTGAGTAAATGTGGCCGAGTGACAACCCTGTATTGATGATCAGCTGTGACCCACTCATTACCCAAGGAAACCACTGAGGAGTAAGTGACTAGTAAAGAAGTTCGAGCTGTAACTCTTCAAAGATCTCTGAGGAACATCTGCAGTATGTGGGATTGCAGCTTCTCGGCTTTGAGGGCTAGGAATTGGCAGCAGCAGAACCGGCCTACAAGAACTACTATAATCCCAGGCACTTTGGGGGATAGTTTTACTGAAAGGAACTTGCAGAATTGGATAGCTACCACCTGAAAGCAAGCTGTCTCCCTCGCCCCGGCGGTGGGAGCTCAGCACCGAGTCTAGGAGCACACAAAGCATGCTGTATGACTACCTCACCAGGTGGCATAGCTTGACTGTAACAGCGCAGCTCAAGGCACAAAATGATTGAGGTTTTTCTGAGAATTCTCAAACTAACTAATAATTCTAACTTGCCAGCATCTTGGCAGCAGAAGCTAGAATGATCACCGCCAAACTTGTCGTTACTTGTGGATTTTTGTGTCACACAAATATAACTGATGGTTTCCATCCCTTTTTTTTTAGGCAGTTCATCAGAGGCTAAGCAATGATTTTAAATTGCTTTAAGGTCTAGGACAAAGACTAATGCACTCTTACGGTATGGTTTCTCTCTCTACCTGCGTATTGTGTGCATATGTATACACAGCTCCTCTAGTGTGAGAGAGAACTTTCCTGGAAGGAAGTGTAACTCTGTGGAATTTATCTTTCAGGAGTAAATTCTGTTAGCACTTAAGACCAGTAACTAGCACCATTACTTCTTTCAGTAGTAAGGTGCTAAAGCGAATGCACTGAACAGACTGACTTTTGTCAGGCTCTTGAATGGCCTTAAGGCCATTAAAAAAGAAAATAAAAATTAAAATACTACAACTATTCCTTCACTTTGCAGAAGCATTTATTTTCACCCACAAGACAACACTGTAGACAGACTTGGTTTTAAAACTATTGTTCTCCTGCATACATATAGTCATAAAAAGTTTAAAAAAAAAAGCCAATTTTACAAATTATTAAAAGGTGTATTTAAAAGTAAACAAAATCTGTTTCTAGCATTTTGCCCATAGGGAAAAATATGTAAATACAAATAATTCACATGTGACTTCTTATTAACTTTTCTGTCCAGCTATTTTTGTAGCTTCTTTTTCTTTTTCTCCGGTTCATTCTTGCTGCTTACTTCTGTAGATGATAGATTTGCAGGCACATCATTTCCTAGTATCTACAGTAAGAAAAGAATTGGAAGTTAGAACGGTTTTGACTCAATTTTAGCTTATACTATCCTGATAAAACTTGAGTTTACTTGTACAGACCTTTTATAAGCACCATATCAACATCAGAAAATTCTGTTAGTAGTCATCTAAAAACAGGTCTACCATCATGTAACAATCACAGCTAGAACACTCAAGTGAAGAAAGAGATGAGGGAAATGCAAGCAGCAGCACCCCTCCTGACTCAATTGCCGGCAGTTCCTTTTGCACCAGATTATATGTGCCGCCTTCTCAGTTGTTTGCCATGCCTTAGCAAATGCTTCTGAGGCAGGGGTTATGAATGAGAGAGGTGAAGAGGGGTCCTAAACCTACCAATTTTCATTTTGCTTTCAAAACAATCAATCACCACTACTGTGTTTTCTGAACCCCTGCTCCTGTCAAGCAGAGGCCCTGTCAGGCTCAGGACACCGCATAGCAAAAAGGCATTTAGCTTTGATAGAAACTGTTAAAACTTTTGAAATAAATGGAAAACAGACTTTTTCTAAAGCAAAGAAGAACAAGAATAAAGAAAAGCCTGTGTGCTTCCAGAGAATGACCTGTCCTCAAGGAAAGAGGTAATCAAGAAGCGTGCTATGCTTTCTTTGAGAATATGGGAGTAGCGTTCAAGCAGAGAAGAGTGAAGCAGGCCACGATGAAATACAGTTCACTCAAGTAGGGTTCATAAAAGAGTTGGACCGAGACCAGGCACGCGTATGCTCCTCTACACTTGAGTCTTACGGACAAACTGCAATGTCTGATTAGATGAGGTGACAGGCGCTTCAGAAGCTTGACGCAAGGAAGCTGATCACTAGGACTTTAATACCAGGTTATAAATTACGTGAAAGCGACAACAGCATATACCAGTAGAAGAGTCATTTAATTGTATTAGAGTAACACAGGCACCTATGCTGGAATTAAACGCACCGCCATAAGCTGAAGGCTATGGTTTTGGTCAGCTAATTAGGATGGCAACAATTATGACACGCTAATGACACTAATTATGACAGTACCAGAGAGGCTGTGAGACCAGGTAACACGGTAACAGTAATTACCTTCAATGAGTAAATGTCACAAGAAGGCTTGAGACAGTCTAGGTTTCGAGGTGCCATAGAGGCCCGTTTCTTGGAGCAACTAGTCAGAGAACCCATGAAAAGGGAGAAGCAACTCTTGCCTGAGGACCTGCTTAAGAGGTTACCCACAGAACCATCCCTGTAATACTGATTTCAGTGTACTTACTTACTGAAAATGCATCACCATGGTAGAAGGAAAAAAACCCCAAACCTTAAAATGCATTACATCAGCAATAATAAGGTATTTAGTGAAGATTTTATTAAAGGGGGTTGCAAAAAGGTAAAATGCTTTCAGGGGTGAGAAGGAATTGAAAAAAGAAAGACTTGGAGTAAGAATATGCCATTTATCAATAGAATTTCAAGAGAACAGTTAAAAAAAGTCAGTAGAGTGATTAGTATCGCATGTCAACAGGCATCCTTTAAGAAGTGAAAATCCTGTCCAAATGAAGAAGAAATAAGTGCAAAATTAAGTTAAAATAAACAGGCAAGCCCAAAAGACTGAGGAACAGTAATAAAAATTCTCTAAGTGAGAGGCAGGGAATTATTCCTTGCTCTTCCATCAATGGATAGCACGGTGGTAACAAAAGCCTAAAGCAGGCATGAACAACAGGTGATCAAAGTGTAATTGAAGCACTCAGGAAAATTAAGACCAATATCAAGAAAACTGTTACAAATGCCCATCATCAGAAAAAAAAGGTTCAGAGCAAACTGGGTAAGAGGAATACTAACAGTGCCAGGGCTCGACACGGTCCACTGGAGAGTTCTAAAAGCAAGTGTAGAACTGTCAGCTAGCAACTGTTGGGTGTGTATGAACTCATTGCTTAAAACTGGTCTTGGTACTAGAAGGAATGAAAGATGATGCAAAGTGTTCCCATATAACACCATACAACACAGAGAATCCTGCATGTGTCTCTGTACGTATGTGATCCTGTATGGATCTGTGGTGTGCTCACATCCAGAATTGTGCATGTGCTTCTGTTCCTCCCAGCTCAAAAAAAAAAAAACAAACCCACGTAACAGAACTACAAAAACATAAAGGTGATGAAGAAGATCAAAGATACAAAATAGTTTCCAGAAAAGCAGGAGCTAACATAGCGGATAATAGAAGCATATAGAATTGCATGGCACAGGAATGGTAAATAGGAATAAAAGACTATTTTTCATAGTGTAGGAAATACAGGATGTCATCAAGTAACAGTATTAGGCATCATGCTTGAAACAAATGAAAGGTTAAGTACTTTTTCATACATGGTGAGCTGTGGAACTCACTGCTACAAGATACTGTGGGAGTCAGAAGTGTAAGCTGGGGAAAAAAAAAGTGATTAAACAAATTCACAGAACAAGACTCTTATCTACTGAACACAAAGAAAGATGTGTATCTTTGAGTGAGACAGTATTTAAGTTGTAAATTGCTGGAAGCTTTGAATGGACGTGAAGGGAATGATCACTGTATGTGCATCTTACTCATATACTCATTCCGTACCAGGAAGGAGGACGAGTAACTGATGTTTAGAATAACAGTATTTTGGATTAACCAGCATGGCCATTCCTGTATCAAGGGATAAGCTAGAATTATAGTATTGCCTTCGTTGTAGAGCAAGGACATTCACAGAAATTAGTACAAGAAGTAGAAGGCAAGGGGGGGAAATCAGCTTGCGTTAGCCTTACTTTGAGTCTATTTTCAATGAAGAAAGCGTGTCCCCTCAGGGACTGGAGTCATTGCAACAGGAGTGTTCCTGAGTTACGCCCACTGACAAACACTAGTTGGCGAGCGCAAGCAGTGGGCAGCTCAGCATGTGAATGCACAGCAGGATGCAAGGTTTCTTTCTACAACAAATTTAATTATCTACTCCCACTTTTTGAAGTCATGAGGATTGCCTTCAACTTAAGCTAATACAACAGCTCAAATATCAGAATATTTACATGTGTTTGGAAACAGATGATTCCTCAGAAAAAAGAAATAAAAATGTTTGACTGTATAAACAACAAGGACCGCTTGCTTATTTTGGGTTTTCTTTTTCCTCCATGATTACAGACGGTCAATAACTCCACTTATCTGTTTACCAAAAAAGTCACATGTAACTTAATGAAAGTACACAATCTTGTACTGGCATGCAAAATACTCAGCAGGCCTGAGGTGTGAGACCAGGTGAAAACCCCAGTGTCCCAGATGCACTAAGCTAGAATTGAAAAGTCTTAAGACCAGAGACACAGTT